GCTCCCCTTCCAAAAGGGCGGGTTGTATAATCCTACCGTCCGTTTGTCAGATGATCAACGGTTCGCAGTGATCCCACAGTCACACAGGTAGCAGAAAACTATACTACACTGCTGCATGTGGGCCGGTCCTCAATGCCTGATCACCACCCTGCATCCTCGTGATGAGGGGCTGATACAAGCCTTGCTCTCGCACCACCGCTGTGGTGCAAACCTACCCCGTGGGCTGGGAGAGTTCCAGGTTTGGTTGGGTGGCGGTCCCCCCGTACTATACATAGGGCCTCGCTGCACTACTCTCGACATGCACAAAAGACAAAAATATTGGCGGTGTATCTTTCCGTATTCTTTTTTTTTTTTTTTTTTTTTTTTTGGAAAGTTTACATTTATTAAGATCAAATCAAACGAGGCCAGGGACCTCACAATTCAACCCGGGGTTATCCTGGCAGCCTTAGCCAGTTTCGCTTCCGAGTAACCACCCGAAACCCTCTCTGACTGCTATATATACTTCCCTACTCAGGCCCCTTGCTACTGGAAAATGGGTCCAGCGACCCCTGCCAGTAAACTTATCCAAAAGGTAATCTTGAAGCTCAGTAAAAGGTGCCAGTAAACACTAGTTGGCTCCCGCTGCTTAGAACAAATTAACAGATTCAAAGTACACACCGTTCTACAACAGCCTGCTCTTAAAGCCGACGCCCTCCCCCTAGAGGTGGAGAGCGAATTTGTGGAGCCTAATGCTATCATAAGCATCCCTTGTCTACTCAGACAACCTTATTTACCTGTTTCATCAATGGCTGAGCAGACTTTATTATTAAGTAGCTCTGCAGGTCTAATTCGGCCTGTCATCTACCTCCATAAACTGATTCTCTAGTATCCTGGAGCTAATGCGCTCGAGCCGAGCCCTCCCCCTGTATCTGAAGCTTAACCGATCCGGAAGAGGTGGCTGCCTCTAAAACAGCCACTTGGCTACTTGCAGTTTTCCTTCAGGGGTGATAGATGCCAAGAAATCTTCTCCTGTCCATGTCTTCCGAAACCACCCCAAACCCCTGCCTGTTCGAAGTCGTGATTTTCTCAATTCTGTTAACTCAGTTAACCTGAGCATATCTTTGACCATTCTGGTCTGCTGTTGAAGTGGGAGCGGTTCACCTCGGAAGACCACTGCATTTCTTGCTTTCCAAATAACTTCCAGCAGAATGCCTCTACACAACAAGGCTACGTATCCCCATTCGTCTGAAAACTTGGCACAAGAGGGGGGGGTCGCGTGCAGTATCCAGTCATCTGTCCATTCCCACTTAGCAGCCCCACCGGCTTCCCACTGTAGCTTCCACCACATCCAAAGTTCATCTGCCAATGGGCATAACAACCATACATGTTCTGTTGTCTCCCATCCCCAATTGCATCTCTTGCATGTGACATCTAACTCCATCCCCCTGCGGTTAAGCCAGAGGGCTGACGGAATTACAGACATAGACTGTGCCCACATTAGACTAGCCTGCTTCTGAGACGGAAGTTTCTTCAGCATTTTACACAGTGCTTTGAAGTCCGGAGGTGGTTTCCCTCCTCCTTGACTTTTTCTGAATCTTTCCAGAGCTTTTACCTCAGGTTGAGTTCTCTGCGTTCTTCGATATGCAGCTCCGGTCCTAGCCTGGTACAAAATCAGCGGAGTGGCCTTTCCATCTGGCCCTGTCCATCCATACTGAAAGGGTTCCACCTTGTAGTTTGCAGCTTCCTTATGTAGAAGTAGTGGGGCCTTCCTTGCTCTTGCTATCTGTGGGACCCACACCCTTACCTCTGTCAGGTCCGCTGTGGTGTCTAGTGTTATTTCCGTGTCTTTTATGAGCTCCGTTCCCTCTTTCCTACATCTTCCCTTCTTCCATTGTTCCAAAGTGGTACCTTGCGATAAGTTCGGTCCTAACACCTTCAACACAACATTCTCGTTTTCTGGGTGTAACACCCACGTACCTTGAGCTTGTTCCGTCTCTTCTTTAAGCAACTGCTCCCAATGCACTGGTAAGACTGATATCAGCTCCTCCCGGTGCTCCTCCAATTTGTGAACCCTCGGGAGCTTCCTCCTTAAGTCTTCTGCTGTCTTCCATCTTTGTTTCTGGCTACACCACAGGTGCTCCACCATGTATACTCCTTTCTCTGTCCAGGTACGGCCAAAATTCCCCGCTTTCTCCCGTAACTCAAAAGGCTCCCCAGTTGACCGTTTAATCAGTGGATTGTCAAATATAGTTTGTTTCAGTATTTCTAACTTTGTTCCTGGCTCCGACAGTTTTATCAGTTTAATCTTCTGCCAGGCATGCAGAATCCCGTTCCAAGTCCTTGATTTGGTCTTCCTCTTGGGCAGGTCTGTTTGCACGATACATGACCACACATTCACCTCCTCCGCCAAGGACCAGTCCCTCCTAAGAATATACTCAGCAAGTTGGACCCATTGTTTGTGGTCATCCTGAAAGCATACTTTAATAATCCATTTAACCAACAGTGCTACATTTTGATCTCTGGGGTCCAGCAGACCAAGTCCCCCTTGATGCCTTGGTTGGGAAATCAAATCCCACGCTACCTTGTAAATGAAGCCTTGTTCTTCCTTGGCCTCAGGTTTCCATAGGTACCTGGCCGCTGTTCTCTTGATGGACGAGTACGCTGCATCCCCCAGGTAGTGTACAGCCATAGGGAACCACAGTATGGAGAACGCCGCTGAGTGAAGTACTAACGCTCTTCCGTACACAGAAAGCTTATAGTTCCTTACCCAGCCTGAGATTCTCTTGCATACCTTCTCTTGGAGTATCTTATCCTGGGCCTGAGCACAATTTTGCATGGCAACTTGAACCCCAAGCAAGCGTTCCGAACTATCTGCTGGTACTTCCTTCAGGCCCCAATTAACCTTAATAGAGAATGGTGATGGGGGTAGATATACAGATTTATCCCAATTTATAGATGCCTCCGACAATCTACAATAATCATCTAATACAATCCTTAGTTCCTTGAGACTAGACTGAGAGTTCTCACATGCGAGCGTAAGATCATCTGCGATAGCTCCTCCCTTCCAATGTATGTCGGGGGGGAGCTCCAGGCCTTTTATGGCTGTATTAGAACGGATATTGTCCAATAATACCTCCAGCTGCAACACAAATAGTAGAGGTGCCAGCGGGCATCCTTGTCGAAGTGAGCGCGTTAGTTTAAATTCCTCAGACAGTCTGCCATTAACCAGGACTACTGAGGAAGCTTCAGAGTACATAGCCTTTACATATTGACAAAAATGCGGGCCAAAGCCCATTAGTTTCAGCGTAGTAAAGACAAACGGCCAGCCTACCTCATCGTAGGCTTTTTCCATATCAAGAAGGAGCACTGCAACCTCTCTTTTTTCTGCTGATATAATTTCAAGTGCCTGCAGGGTGGACATAATATTGTCAAAAATTGTTCGTCCTTTTACAAATGCCCCTTGCTCCGGGCCTATGAGGGACGGTAAGAACTCAGCCAAGCGGGTAGCTTGAGCTTTAGCTAAAATTTTATAAGATACATTTAATACTGAAATTGGCCTATAGTTCCTCACCTCTGACTTATTGCCCTTTTTATAGAGAAGGGAGATGTACCCCTTTAGGAATCCTGTCGTCAGTGAACCTTTTGTCCGGACGTCGTTATAAATACTTGCCAAAAAAGGACCGAAGGCTTCCCAGCATTCAACATACAACTCTACTGGGAGGCCATCCAGACCAGGGCACTTACCGGAGGCCATTTGTTTGGCGGCCCTACCCAGTTCTTCCACTGAGAAGGGTTCATCCAAAGACTGGGCCATTTGTGGAGATATCTTATTTTAGTTCTATCCCAAAATGATGTATTCAGTGACAGATCTGTATCGCAGGAATCGAAAGGAGGTCTCGTGGTAACAATGTCACTGAAATAATCGAAGGCATAAGAGCACATAGCCTCCGTGTCTGCTGCCACAGCAGTGTCTATTGCAAAGGGGTGTGCCAACTCCCTAATCAAAGATTTCGACTGTCTGAGGAGTAGTGACCGAAATGTGAGCTTGGTCATACGGTCGTAGCCAATAATTCCCCTACATTTTAACCAATCTAACCATTCCTCTTGTTTCTTTACTTCTAACTTTTCTAATTCTAACATGGCTGATTCCCGCCTTGTAGCCCAGTAGTATTCAGAATCTTTCCGTATTCTAGCGGAAGATTCCCTCTCGTTTTGCACATTTCGAGAGTAGTGCAGCGAGGCCCTACCGCGGTAGGATGGCAGTTGTCGAGTGCAGTCTTAGGGTCTCGCTGCACTACTATCCAGTCTCCTAAATCAGAGAGTTCGGCATGGCTGACTATCCGATTTCTCCCTTTGAAAATGTTCGGATAGCTGTCAGATACCACCGTCGAGAAGAACTATCCGCGCGCGGATAGTTCCCAGCCTGCAAAGAAGGTTTTCCGGATGGACCTCGGCGGNTTCGGATAGCTGTCAGATACCACCGTCGAGAAGAACTATCCGCGCGCGGATAGTTCCCAGCCTGCAAAGAAGGTTTTCCGGATGGACCTCGGCGGGCCTCTCCAAAATGCTCCGAATTCGGAGAGTGTGCCTGGAGTCGGGGCCGACAAAATGCATATGACGCCAAGTAGTCCAGTGCTGTCGCCTCGTCTGCTAGTGTTCTCACGAATTGGAGTGTGGGACCACGGATAGTAAGTGCAGCGATGACCACCTATCCGCGAATTTCCGGAGAGTGGAGAGCAGTGCAGCGAGACCCTTATCAGCACAGCAAACCCAAGCACCGCAGCACCGAAGGGCCTCGCCGCACACCGAAGGGCCTCGCCGCACAGCTCACCAAATGCGAAAAAGACAGAAGCTGTCCGGATGCACCTTTCCCGATTCTAGCAAGAAGATTCGTTCTTCAGTTTACACATTTGGTTAGCAGTGCGGCCAGGCACAAAACGCCAAGGAAATCGCCGAGAAGAAAAGCCGCGCCCCTTGCGGGTCTAGATTTGGGAGCCGGCGCGCGGGTGTGGGTGTTGGTTTTGCGGTGGGTCTGGAGGTCCGAATATTGGTTTTGCGGTGGGTCTGGAGGTCCGAATATTTCCATCTCCTCAGCGACAAGGGAGAGGTGAGGGAGCACGGTAGGAGCGGCAGGCGGCAGGCGGCAGGCGTGCTGCTTGTGCAAGCACGGCAAGGGCGGGTAACAGGGAGAGGAAGTAAATATGGCGGCGGCGATGGCGGCACTTCAGGGAGCAATGTCGACGCTGAGTGTGCATGGATTGCGTGGTAGTAGCTTGTTTGGCGCCAAGCTGCAGCAGCAGCAGCAGCAGCCGCCGGCCATCCACGAATCGCAACAGGTTAGTGACGTGTCTTTGTGTGGTGGCTCGCGCACGTGCATTCGCTTGTATTCTCTTATCTTCTCTCTCGCTTTCTCTCTCACTTGCTCTTTCTTTAAATAACTCTCACGCTCAAACAAAAGACCCATATACGGCCGCCGCACGCGCGCGCTCGAGCGAGCTTGAAATATCACACACACACACACACACACACACACACACACACAGAGAGAGAGAGAGAGAGAGAGAGAGAGAGAGAGAGAGAGAGAGAGAGAGAGAGAGAGAGAGAGAGAGAGAGAGAGTTTTTGGAAGATGAGGGCGACCGCATGACGACGTTTGGTTGGCGGCTGGTCGTTGTGAAGCTTGTGCTGACGTGGCAAGAATGGATGTTGGGAGCCCTTAGACGAACGGCAGTTAATACTTCAAAAAATGGATTTCTTTTTTCTGGGTTTTTTTTTTTTTTTTAATTTTAATTTTAATTTTAAAGAGCCCAGTATTGTTATTCATTGTCACAACATCCCTATGTCAGGATTGGGTGACGTCTACCAAAAAATGTGAATTTTTTTGCGTTGTCTTTTTTGTCAATCTCCAGATAAATAAACCTCTTCTGCAACCGCATATCCCCTGCCGTTCTCCACCTCCCCTTCCTCTTCCTCCTCCTCCTTCTCCTCCTCCTTCTCCTCCTTCTCCTCCTTTTCCTCTCTCTTTCTCTCTCTCTCTCTCTCTCTCTCTTTCTCCCCTCTTGCATGTAATTATGCACTAAGAATTCGAAACGGAATTTTGCATTTACCGTGGTAAATGAAATGCTACACATTAATTAAGACAGAGCGAAATTTCTCGACCTCAACCCCTCGGGCCTCGAACTGGCGATCAGATCATGGAGGGTAAAGAAAAGACGCCCGCTTTTAGGGGTCCTTCCCTTCGCAATCTGCGCCGAATAAAAACAAAAAGAAACAGCTACAAGCTGTCCTCCCACGCATTTGTTGAAATTAGGACGATGGCCGCTGCGCAAGAAAAAGAAGTATAAAAGCAAAAAAAAAGAAGAAGAAGACGACGAAGAATCAGGGCAAACCGTCAGTAAAAAAGTAATCTCATCATCATCTTGGAAAGAAAAGGAAGTAATGTCATCATCGGCTGACGCCACGTGACGGAGACATGTGGAAACCATCCTGTTTATGTTGTAATTCTTGTCCTATATATTCTACTTGTAAATGCTCAAGGATTTTTTTGGGTTTGAATTCGTAAGTTGAATTAAACTAAAATAAAATTAAAATTAAAATGAAAATTAAAAATAAAAATAAATCTTAATTTGTCATTTCATTTCGAGTAAAGAAGGAAAGTTTCAGGGTGCATGTTCCTCCCCCCACGTTTTGCTTGCGTTAGCACTGGTTTTCGTACCCATCTCCCCCCCCCCCCCCCCCCCCCCCCTCCTCCCCCTCCCCC